CATGGTACATCTTTCCATTTATTTAGGTCTTCTTTAATTTCTCTTAAAATTTTATAATTTTTGCTGAGAGATGTCTCACACACTTTAATTTCATTTACTTCTAGGTACTTGATGTTCTCCAATACTATTGAAAATGGTATTTTTAATTTGGTTTTAGTTCATTTGCTGATATATCAAAATTGCAGTTGATGTTTATATATAAATCTTTACCCTGCCACCTTGCCAAACTCTCCTATTGTTTCTAATAACCTATCTGTAGATTCTTTGGGTTTTTCTATGTAAACAGCTAGATCTTCTGCAAATAAAGACAGTTTTATTTCCATCATTCCAGACTTTATGTTTTTAATTTCTTTTTCTTATTGTGCTGGCCAGAACCTCCAATACAATTATATATAGAAGTGATGCAAGTTGACACCCTTTTCTCATTCCTGATTTTAAAGGAGTGTTTTCAACATCTACCCAATTAAAGTGATGCTTACTACAGGTTTCATAGGTACTTAACATCGGATTGGCGCAGTGGTTAAGAGCTTGCCTGCTAACCAAAAGATCGGCAGTTCGAATCTATCAGCTGCTCCTTAAAAAGGCCTCTGTCCTGTAGAGTCGCTATTAGTCGGAATTGACTAGACAGCAATGGGTTTGGTTTTGTTTTTTTTGACATCGGATTAAGGAAGTCTCCTAGTCCTAATTTATTAAGATTTTTTTTGTAAGTATCTTAGTTTTATCAGAGCCTTTTCTGTCCCTATTCAAGTGGTCATATGATTTTTCTCTTTTACTCTGATAATGTGATGAATTACAGGTATGGATTTTTCAAATTAAACCATCATCACATATTTAGGATAAACCCAACTTGGCCATGGCATATTTTCCTTTTTACATATTGTATCAGTAAGTTTTTACTACATAACAAAATCTCCCCCAAATTTAGTGGCTTTGAACAACATTCTTCTATTTGCTCATGATTCTATGGGTTAGCAGTTTGGGCTGAGTTTAGCTATGATGGTTCATCTCTATTCAGGTGACAGTCAGCCTAGTGATTGCTTCATGACAAATTACCACAAACTTAACAGCTTAAGATAACACTGTGAGTCAGGAATCTAGGCACAGCTTAGCTGGGTCCTCTGCTTCAGAGTCTCTTGCAAGGCAGCAATCAAGGTGTTAACCAGGGCTGGGATCTCATCTGAAGGCTCAACTGAGGAGGGACTTGCTTCCAAGCTCACTTGATTGTTGGCAGAATTTCAGTTTCCTAAATTCTGTTGGATTGAGATCCTCAGTTCTAGCTGGCTGCTGGCCAGAGACTGACATCATTTCTTTATCTTTTGGGCTTCTCCATCATAACAGTTTGCTTTATCAGAACCAACAGGGAGAGAATGTTCTAGCAAGACAGAAGTCACAATCTTATATAACCTAATCACAGAAGTGACATCACTTTTGCCATATTCTGTTGATTAGAAGCTAGGCCAGTCCACACTCAAAGGGAGGAGATACACAAGGATGTACAAGAGGTGGTTCTTATTGGGGGCCATCTTAGAGCCTGTAAGCCACAGCTGGGCTCACTAATATGTCTAGGGCCTCAGCTGTAACAGCTGAGTTTCTCTTTCCATGTATTTTCTTATCATCTAGAAGATTAGCCCAGTCTTGTTTATCTGGCAGCAGCAGCAGGTTCTAAGAAAGAGCAAGAGCAGAAGCTACAAGGCTTCTTGAGGCCTAAACTGAGAAATTGCACAGTGTCACTTCTGTCACATTCTGTTAGTCAAAGCTAGTCACAAGGCCAGCCCAGATTCAAAGGATAGGGAAATAGATACTTAATGGGAGGAGCTGCAAAGAATTTATGACCCTTTTTAATCTGCTATATACACTTTTGGTTTTGATTTGCTAATATTTTGCTTCGACTTTTGTATTTATATTGTGCGTGACTGTGCCTGTAATTTTCCCTTCTCATAATATTGTGTGGTTTTGGCATCAGGATCATAATTCCCTCATAGAATGAGTTGGTGAATATTCTCAACTCCAAGCATAGTGCCTGTCACAGGATAGGTGCACAAATATATTTATTAGTTGAATGGATGAATAAATGAATAGTGGAGACAAAAGGGTCAGAGAAGTAAAAAAACAACTAGAAAAAAAGTATGACAGTGGAATATTACAGAGTAAAAAATTTGGAAGTTCATAGTTTTGACTGCTTTCTTAATCTTACTTATATAGTCTGCCTTCTTAGGATGGTTATTCTGAAGTTACCTGTTCCACTGCCAAAATGGAATTCACTTTGGTAAAAGCAGAGTAGAAAGAAACCTTTCCAAATTTCTATAATTTGTATCATATTCTGAGGCCTTAGTTACTGTGGTAGCTGCAAAGAAGCAAATACAAGGATGGAGGCTGAGTGGGAGGGGACTGGGACTGAAATGCAATGTAATTGACTTTCTGGAAATTATTGCTCCCAGGACATTCAGTGATTCAAGGTTTTGTAAACCTAAGGACTTGGGTAGGATAAGCCCTCCAAACTGTATCCAAAAATAACAACTCTGTGTATCTTTTTAAAATGGCTGATTCATAATCAGATCTTTGCAGACTGTTATATTCTCAGGTTTCCCCATAATGGATGAGTTGATAGATGTCAGAACTGCTGTGTGGCATGTAAAAGTCTCTGCAAAATTTAGCTTCAAATTGGCAGTATTTACTGTTCCTTCTTTGGAGTTCACCAATTTTGTTTATTGAAAAAAAACAACATATAACTTTATAGTAGTTTCTCTTTATTCCGATTCAAACACTGTATATGATAAGATGACCAGAGACCATTTGAAGAAATGAATGATTTCAAGTGCCTGAGCTAAACATATTACATACTTAAGTAATGCATTTGTCTCTAGGTATGTGGGCAGCTACGGCCAACAGTGTAGCATGTTTAGTTGTATAGTTGCCGTTGTCTGTCAATGGGAAGAAACTTCATTTTTATAGAGATATTTTTCCTAAAGTTAAACCTTTACTTTCTCATTGGTGCTCCTTTGTAAAGAGGTATTAAAACAGTGCTTTATTTGATTGTTCTAAAGATCTTGTGAGATCAAATGAGAACATGTATTTTGTTTAATTTTTTGAACTTAAGTATTTAATGTTTTAGTTAATAGCACTATTATAAAAGCTTCACAAATTTTAACTCATTTAATCCTCATAACAAGCCTGTGAGGTAGGCACTATCATTATGCCCGTTTTACAGATGAAACTGAGGAACAGAGAGGTTAAGTAACTTGCCCAAAGATGTACAACTAGTAAATGGCTGAACTGGGATTCATACCCAGATTGTCTGGCTTTAGAGGCTCTGTTTTTAATCATTATGCTATGCTGCCTGTATGTGAAAATGCTTTGTAAGCTATAAAGACTGTACAGATGTTAGTAGCAGATTTTATTAAGTGTCCAACACTGTACTACATGTTATGAGAGAGATAAAAGAATCATAAGTCTACCTTTGAAGAATTTATAATCTGGTTGAGGAAAAGAAAGAAAACAGCAATAATATGACAGCCTGTGTCTTAGTTATCCAGTGTTTCTACAACAGAAATACCACAAGTGGATGGCTTTAACAAACAAATGTATTCTCTCACATTCTGGGAGGCTAGAAATTCAAATTTAGGGAGCTAGGTCCAGGAGAAGGCTTTCTCTCTCTGTCGGCTCTGGGGGAAGGTCCTTGTCATCAATCTTCTCCTGGTCTAGGAGCTTCTTAGCACACGGACCTTGGGTCCAAAGGACATACTCCATTCCCAGCACTTCTTTCTTGGTGGTATGAGGTCCCTGTCTCTGCTGGATTCTCTCTCCTTTTATCTCTTGTAAGATAAAAGGTGATGCAGGCCACACCCCAAGGAAACTCTCCTTACATTAGATCAGGGCTGTGACCTGAGTAAGGGTGTTGCATCCCACCGTAATCCTCTTTAACATAACCTAATCTTGCCTCATTAATCACAGGCAGAAATTAGGATTTATGACACATAGGAAAATTACATCAAATCACAAAATGATGGACAGCCACACAATACTCGGAATCATGGCCTAGCCAAGTTGACACAGATTTTTAGGGGACACAGTTCAATCCATAACAAGCTGTAAGATCATTGTCAACCAGAGAACTCTCCACACCTAGGCACTTTGTTTTGAATGCCCTATATATAGCATAAAACCTAGTGCATAATAGACATGTAGTTAACATTAGTTAAAGGTAGATGACCTTAAATATATCATTCTCCTTTTCATGGTGAGCAGACCTAGATTATTTCAGGGAGAGAATTCCTTGTTGTGTTTTCTTCCTGTGCCATGCAGTGAGCTTATGGATCATCCAGTTCATTTGACTAAGCAGTGTCTTGGCTATCTTCTTTTTTTTTTTTTTTTTAAAAAAAAAAAAATGTCATTTTGGAAGTAATTTTAAATTTACAGAATGGTTGCAAGAATATTCTTGTACAAAGAACCCATATATCCTTTACCCAGATTCCCCAAATGTTAACATTTGCTGTATCATTCTTGCTCTCTTTAAAATACATACTTTATGTATATAATATGCGTACATAAGATATATCATTATTTTTCTGAGCTAGTTGAGAAAGTCGCACACATGATTCCCACTTGCCTCTAAATATATCAGTGTATATCTTTAAAATGTGTATTTAAAAATTGTTTTAAATTCCAAAAAAAGACCATTCCCTTATATAATTATAGTAAAATTATCAAAATAAGAAACTACATTAGTATAATACTTTTTTCTAATCTACAGACCTTATTCAAATGTCACTAATGAATCTAATAATATCCTTTAGAACAATGCAAAAAAATCTTTGAGTGCCCGTCTTTTAAACAGTGTGGTGAGTATGTGCTACATTACATAACACTCTTAGCTCCTTTTCTCAACTGAGCCTCCTGTATTTGGTTCCAAGAGCAATATGAGCAGGTGCCCTATCCCCTGACTTAGTTATGCAGGTGAGGCAAGTGGCTTTGTTTGATTTTCCTTCTTTTGTGTGATTCAGTGGAGCAGCGTGACTTCATTGGAGTGGACAGCACAGGAAAGAGGCTGCTCTTCATGGCTAATGAAGCAGACTTGGATGAAGAGCTGGTCATTAAGGGATCCATCCTGCAGAAGTAAGCCCTAGGGTTTTTCTTTTTGGCAATTCTCCTTATTTTAAAACAAAATAAAACCACCCAGTGGATGGGAAAGAGGGAATGAAAACTAGATTATACTGTGTGAAATTGACAAAAGTATGTGAATGTTTTCCCATGAGCCAGGATGGAGGCTTTTCTTCACTGTAGAAACATAGCTTTTCTTGCCAAGGTAGAGCCAAATCCTGCCTAGGAGTGGTGCAAAGTAGCTCTGGGGAGAAATTTTTTTCTGACAGTGTTATAGAACCTCCTTTTTTTTTTTATTTAATTATTTTAAGAATATACTTATTGAAATAAGCAAGGCACATATAGTGGGTATAAACCTCAGTCCACAAATTTAATCGGGCAAAAATTTAATTACGTTTAGTTTCAGTTATTCAACTAGTGTCTTAGTCATCTAGTGCTGCCATAACAGAAATACCACAAGTGGATGAGCACCTCCTTTTTAATACAAAGCTACACATAGGCAACTCAGTCACATTTTCTTCAATCGGCATTTATTGTTTGCTCAGCACAGACTTTTTAATTAGAAGCCACCGGACTCAAAGTTTCACCAGAGCAATGCCAGTACATAGGAATGTTCAATAAATGTTTGAAGGTTGGATGAAATGAATGCAAGAGCTGTGAACTGGGAAAGAGAAAGCTCTTCCTTTTTGCTTTTGCTACCTAGCTGAATAGAAGTAGGAGACATATTAACAAGTATACATTTTAGTGAATATCAAGCTAAAACTCTGACTTCAGCTGGGTCCAGATACCCCTATGGATAAGAGTTCTTTATGAGCCTTGATTTTTTTATCTGTAAAATGGGATCAGTAATAATAAGGCTCTTCTGGAGAATAAAGATGCCATGGTGGTGCAGCGGTTAAGCACTTAGCTACTAACCAAAAGGTTGGCAGTTCGAACTCATCAGCTGCTGCTTGGGAGAAAGATGTGGCAGTCTGCTTCCATAAGATTTACAGCCTTGGAACCCTAAGAGGTAGTTCTGCTCTGTCCTGTAGTGTCGCTGTGAGTTGTAATCGACTCAGTGGCATGGGTTTTATGTGTGTGTGTGTTTCTGGAGAATAAATGAGATAATGTGTATAAAAACAGCATAATAATGCCTGTTACATAGTAAATGACCAAAAAATAGTAAGCATTATTATTTCTATTAGAATGAACAACTCTTTAAAAACTCATGCATAATATCAGTTCCAGATTAAAATGGCTGTTTCAAATTGCATCACAGAATTTCTTCCCAGTAGTTCCTAATGAATGAGAAAAAAAATAGCATAAATTTTGGCAGCATCAAACAAAGTAGGATATTAATAAATCTTAACACCTGATGACCAAGGAGAACACCAAGGTTCTAGTGAGAAGCAGAGAGGCGTAGCAAAGGTAATACCGCTCCCAACTTCACCGTATCACCACTACTCAGAGGCCGTCCTGCAGTTCTCACTAATGTTGCCAAATGTGGAATGAAGAAAACGGAGTATTATATCTTTACTTTTGTCTTTTTCTTACTGAGAAGCAACGGGAACAGCTGCTGGGGAGAAACTGATGAAGCAGGGAAAGTGGATAATGAGGCTAACTCTAACAGAAACAAAGGCTCTGAGCCTTAAGCAATGAAAACAATGAATAGGTGAAATACAGTAGTACCCCCTTATCCGCGGTTTTGCTTTCCACGATTTCAGTTACCTGAGGTCGACCGCAGTCCGAAAATATTAAATGGAAAATTCCAGAAATAAATAATTCATAAGTTTTAAATTGTGTGCCATTCTGAGTAGTGTGATGAAATCTCACGCCATCCAGCTGCATCCTGCCCGAGACGTGAATCATCCCTTTGTTCAGTGTCACGCTGTATATGCTAACCCCCTGTTAGTCACTTAGTAGCCATCTCGGTTATCAGATCAACTGTCGAGGTATGAGGTATCGAAGTGCTTGTATTCAAGTAACCCTTATTTTACTTAAGAATGGCCCCAAAGCGCAAGAGTAGTGATGCTGGAAGTTTGGATATGCCAAAGAGAAGCAGTAAAGTGCTTCCTTTAAGTGAAAAGGTAGAAAGTTCTCGACTTCATAAAATATTTTAAGAGAGGGAGACTACAGTTACATAACTTTTATTATAGTATATTATAATTGTTCTATTTTATGAGTAGTTATTGTTGTTTATCTCTTACTGTGCCTAATTTATAAGTTAAAATTTATCATAGGTATGTATGTATAGGAAAAAACATAGTGTATGTAGGGTTTGGTACTATCTATAGTTTTAGGCATCCAGTGGAGGTCTTGGAACGTATCCCCCGCAGATGAGGGGGGACTACTGTGATATAAAGCTAGAGAGTATCCCTCCATGGGAATAGAATATGCCTCTAATTATGTGGAATGAACCCAGAACTTTTAACAGAATCTCTGGAAAGAGAAAAATTCTAACAAAGACTCTATAATACCTTAGCTATGTTCCCTACACAACTCCCATCCTTGCTTTCCATGCATCTGTTCTCAGACAGCTGCTGGAAGATTTGTAACACCAAAACACTAGCATAAACAAAGTGAGAGACAGAATAAATGGAAAAGGGCATCCAATTAAGAGAAAGAAGAATCCCTAGGATGATGATGAAGTTTCAGGATAACACCTGTGTATCCAGTGTATAAACAACAACCAGACCAGAGTGGAATGGGTCAGAAAACTCTGGGAGAGATTTCTTCAAGATGATCACATTTCTTCTGATGAAAACAACAGAATGCTTGATGTGTCTCACATTTTGAAAGAAGTTTAGGCAGTTGGTGTTAGTTGGCATTGAGTTATCGATGGTTGTTGGTTGTAGCTACTGTCGAGTAGACTGCAACTCATGGTGACCTTACGTACAACAGAACAAAAGTTGCTCGGTCCTGTACATCCTCATGATTGCTGCCATGTTTAAGTCCATCGTTGAAGGTATTGTACCAATCTATCTCACCAAGGGTTTCTCTTGCCCTCATTGGCCTTCTGCTGTGTCAGACATGATGTCTTCCTCTAGCGATTGATCCCTTCTGATGACATGTCTAAAGCAAGCGAGTCGGACAATGTTCTGTTGCGGTCTGTAAGTTTTTCATTGGCTAGTATTCAGAAGTTGATTGCCAGGTCTTTCTTCTTAGTCTGTCTTAGTCTAGAAGCTCCACTGAAACTTGTCCACCATGGGTGACCCTGCTGGTATTTGAAATACTGGTGGCATAGCTTTTAGCATCATAGCAACACAGAAGCCACCACGGTACAACAAACTGACAGATAGGTGGTGGTGAATTATCAACAAGTGCCTGGAAAACTATGAAATTACAAGACCTAAATTAACACCAGGGCAAACAACAAAAATGTGCGGGGAGAGAAAATTAATCATTATTTACTGCATGGCGCAATATAATGTAATCCTTGACTCTTGATCTAACCAAAATTATGATATAATTACTTTGGAATAATGAGATGAAGGTTCGTGTGTCGTAGGGGTGAGGGAAGAAGAGAGGTAAATCCTCCTCTTTCATAATAAAAGCTAATGCCTAAAGCTAAAGTCATAATAATGTAAACATTGATTATTGAGCTAACCAAAATAATAAAAGAATTATATTGGGAGGGCAAAAGAGACACGAAGGGTGGGTATATGTTGGGGAGCAGGACTGGTAATAAAAAGAAGCTAAATCTTCATCTTCCATAGCGGGAAATCAACAGATAATACTTGAATTGGAAAAACCAAGAAGTATCAATATAAGAATATTAGAAATATGGATATAAATACTAAATGGATCAGTTAAAAGAATTGAAAGTGGGTGCCTCTGGGGAACAGAAAATGAGGAAGAGAGGGAATGGAGGACTAAAATTTTTTGTTTGCCTCATTATATACATATACAACTTCAATTTTAATTATTTTAAGATATAATACAATAAAATTTCCTGAATCAAGTAAAAATCTGCAGATTTTAAGAGTATAATGTGTATTCCAAGAAAATGTGACCAGATGTATCCTAGTAAATCTATTAAACTTCAGGGATAAAGAAGGAATTTGTCAAGCATCCAGAGAAAAAAACAAACCACTTACATGGGAGGAAAAATTAGGTTTCCCTCCGAGTTCTCCACAACATTCAGTACCAGAGAAAGAATGTCTGCAGAGGCAGCGTGCATCCTGTGACCGAATGAGGTAGGAGTATAAAGCCACCCCAGCAGGCAATACTGGAGGCTGTACTTGCTCTAGAACTCCCGGCTGAGTTGGCCGAGGCTCTGTCAAACCTTCATCTCAGTTCAGTTTCTTCGTCTGCCCAGTCCTGCTTCCTCCTCCTCCTTTCACAGCTGTTGATTTCTCGTTAAACATCTTGTACCCCAAACTCTGTCTCAGTGTCAGTTCTGGAGAACCCAGCCTTCAACACACAGTAACATGGTTTTCCACTACCTGGTAAAGCAGTTTTTCTCACCATTGGAGTGATCATTCTTTCAAATGTAGAATTAAACTACCTAGTTGATTAAGTTCTTTTTTTCTTCTGAAAGCAAAGAGGCTTTGACCTCTGCATGTATAAAAATTATGCTGAATGTTGTCTAATAACATTCATGCCTCTTATAATTCCTGACTGATCATAGTATAAAAAATGTATACGCATTTATCAGTATTTCCAGCCTCACTCTGCTATGACTTCTTATCTGCCCTTCCCACAGGATCTGTAGTTTTCAACCCTGGGGAGTATTTAAAAAAAAAATACTGATGCCTGAGCTCCAGCCCTAGAGGTCCTGATTTAACTAATCTGGCCTGGAACCAGGCATTTATAAAAAGTTTCTTGGGTGATTCTAATGTATGAAGGTTGAAAACCACTGTATTGGGCACTCTGTTCAACTTACCAGAGCATGTAGCCCAAGAGTACTCAATAAATAACTTAATAAATGGATAGTCAGTTGATCTATCTGAGTCCAAAGGAATTTTCAGCTCCCCAGTAGTGAATGGAAGCAGTAATGAAAATGGGCCCAGCATCTGAAACTGCAGCTTGGAGCT